GGACATTGTTTTGCCTTTCGGACAAGAATCAGAGTGACCAATGTGCAGACAATGGGAGCAAATAAATGCCGGGTACCTTTCATACTCCACCTTTTGACTATAGCTACATCCCTTACCATCCTCAATAATAGTAACTGAATCCGGTAAGTTCTTATCGAACTCCACCTCCACGCAAATTCTTGCACAGTCCAACGTATTTCTTGATGCTGTTATTGTATCAGTAAATAACGGTCTGCCCACTAGACTACCAATCTTGCTTAGGGCTTCAGGAGACCACAGATGCAGCCTCAATTTAGGTAGCTTAATCCAAATTGGTAATGATTTCAAATCTTTCATCGTTTCAAAACTCAAATCAGAACTCCAAGGCTTCAAAACCAAAGGTTTACTACCATCATAAAACCTAGGACCCTCAGCCAATGCTATTTCCTTACCTTGAGCAGTTTCAAAATCCAAGATAAAAACTCCTGACCTTAGTGCCTTGACCTTCACATCCCCATATTTTCTCGATTCAGAGACCATTAAATTGTCAATAAACTTGTTGAATGAAGTTTGATTGTGGGTTGAATCAGGATCCACAAAATAAGCAACCACAGCGTTTTTCCATCTTCTAACCTCAGATGCAACATCCGTTTCCTTGACCAGAGCAAATTTCTTCCCATTACTGACTTCAGGATCTACGAACTTCAATTCCGTCCCCTTCTTCATTCTGCAGCACAAGCACACAGTTAAATTAGAGCACAAACAGAAGTAAGAAAAGCTAAAAAGAAAACTAGACAAACAAATTAACAAACGTACGTACCTCAGGGTAAAAGTAAAGAAGAAAAAGAACAACCTTAGACAAAACTAAGCTTTTTAGGGTTTAAGGGAGGTAATGTAGATCAACAAGATAAACAGATATGGGTTTGTAAATGAATGTTTAGGACAACACACATGCATATATAAGAGTAAATAAGAAGCTAAAAGATTTTAATTCTGGAATACGAAGGATGACCAAGTGACCTAAATTCGCATGGCGATTTCAGCAGTCATCTTGGGAGAAGGAAGAGACGTTAAGTGTCATTAAAACCAGCAAAAATTAATAAACTTGAAAGTAGGACTTCACTTACCTCTAATTAACTTGATCTTGATCACACTTGAAGAATTTGCAAGCTTACTCTCTCCTTTTCCTCCTCGGTAATTCGGCAAATCCCTTCAATTTTCCCTCTCTTTCATTCGGCCATCTTCTTCTTTTTCTTCTTCTCCACAATTCGGGTTCTTCTTATTGCTTGCTAACTCACAGCTTCTTCTTCTCCTCCTTTTTTTATTTCGTCTGTCGCCGCCTCTTAGTAAGGAAGTTTCATAACTTACTTTACACTAAATATCTCTTTTTAGGAAATTTCTTAGCCTTCCTTGATAAGTTTTTTTTTTTTTTATAACCTAGAATGTCCGGATCAGCTTACGCGCACCACGACTAATTCCTGGACTCATTGAACACCCTCCAAGCCTAGTGGGCAGGTAAGACACCACGAGAGTGATAGATATGCTCGGAGAGAGTCGAACCCGAATAGTCATCAATGCAAGGCCTCAACCGCTAGGCTACGATCTCAAGGGCTCCTTAGTAAATTTTTCTTTATATATATATATATACACACACACTTAAACTAAGCTAGGAATTCCTTTTGTCCTTTTTCCATTTCCAGCCCAATTATACAATTAAGCATAAATTAATTATCATATTATGAACGATTAATAACACTCTTAACTTAGGTCTTACATTTAAATTATTTTAAATGTATTTAAACCAAAATGTTACTAAATAATTTAACTGACCTTTTCTTCTTTTTATTTCCTTAATTTTTATCAATAAATATTACAATCCTTAATTGTTAAATATTTATAATCTTTAGACACTTTTTAAAAAATTCTTATTAATTCAATCAAGTACCTGAATTATTCACCGCCTTAACTTTTAATTATTAAACTTCTAATATTTATGCTTGTATAATATTTAATTTTTATGTAAATATAAATATTAATTTCATATCTTGATTTTATATATTAAGTAAATTCTCATACATTAAGTTAAACTTATCCACTTATTTATAAATATTTGAGGAGGTTAAAAAGATAAGGATATTACAATAACGCTCCCCTGATTCCAATTCCTTAAGCATCAAAAGCATGCTCTCTCCCTGCAAAGAAGTTTTTGAGAATTATTTGTATTAAAAGCTTGAATTACCAAAAGGCGAGTTGGAAATGGTCGAGTCCTTAGTAGATTGAGTTGTATCAACTATCGAAAGAAAAAGCCATTGGTGCTGGTTTCCTCTTTAGAAGGAGAAGTTCTACTGAAACTCAAGCTGATAGACTGAGGAGCATCAAAAGCCGAGTCAGTAGCGCTGGATGCCAAAGTAGATGCCTCGGTCGGCAGAGAAGTTGAACCGGATGTTACAGTGGACAAAGAAGTTGCACCGTCCTCCGAGCCTTTAGCTTCTAATGCCCCAGGAGCAGTTGAACCAGATGCTAGAGCAGACGAAGAAGCTGACCCAAATAAAGGGACTTGAGCAGTTGTGCTAAACGGAGTTGAACCAAATTGTGAAGCAGAAATGGAACCAAATGCTGGAGTAGACGAAGGAGTTCCAGGAGCTGAGCCAAATGGTGAAGCAGAAATGGAACCAAATGCTGGAGTAGTCGAAAAAATACCAGCACCATACGCAGGAGGGTTAGCACCAGGTGCTCCAGTTGTACCAAACCCAGAGCTGCCAGGCCAACTCTGCTTACAACACAAATGATGAGGGTCAGATTTCTTACACCACAGGCATGAGGACATCGTTTTGCCTTTCGGACAAGAATCAGAGTGACCAATGTGCAGACAATGAGGGCATCTAGATGTCGGCTTCCATTCGTACTCAACCTTTTGACTATAGCTACATCCTTTACCATCCTCAATAGTAACTGACTCAGGTAAGACCTTACCAAACTCCACCTCCACGCAAATTCTTGCATAGCAAAATGTCTTTCTTGATGCTGTTTTTGTATCAGTAAACAATGGTCTGCCCACCAGACTAGCAATCTTACTTAGGGCCTCTGGAGACCACAGATGCAGCCTCAAATTAGGAAGCTTAACCCAAATTGGTACTGATTTCAACTCTTTGATTTCCAAACTCAAATCAGGACTCCATGGCTTCAAAATCAAAGGTCTACTACCATCATAAAACCTAGGACCCTCAACCAATGCCAGTTCCTTCCCTTGAGCAGTTTCAAAATCCAAGACAAAAACTCCTGACCCTTGTGAATATACCTTCACATCCCCATATTTTATCCACTCAGAGTCTATTAAATTGTCAAGCAACTTATCGAATGAAGATGGACAGTAAAATGAATTGTGACCCACAAAATAAGCAACCACAGCGGTTTCCCATCTTCTAACCTCGGATGCGACATCCTTTTCATTGACCAGAGCCAATTCCTTGCCATTCTTGAATACAGGTTCTACGAACTTCAATTCCATCCTGTTCTGCTTTCTGCAGCACAAGCACACAGAATTGCAAAGATAAGTAAGAAAAGCAAAGAAAACTTCGAGAACAACAAACAAATAAAGGAACGTACGTACCTCAGGGCTAGAAATCAAAAAGAAAAAGAGTAAAACCTTAGACAAAAGTAGGATCTTGAATAAAATATACTGGTGGATGTGGGACTCCATGTGTGTCCCCTACAACAGAAATATATAGGCACTCAGGTTGGTAGGAAAATGAAAGACAAAAGCCTAAGTTGAACGCTAACTAAACCTCAAGTGAACGCTAACGCGTTGACGAGGAAAGGAAATATTAAGGTTGTAAACTTTTGTCTCTGAACAATTTTGATTCAGTGACGAGTACTTTATAAGCTTTTCAATCGGGTCCATTAGTCACTTTATGTTAATCTATTACGCTCATATGCATACTTTACATGCAATATCATTACGTTGTTTTGAAGATTGGAAAGTTTATGAGCATGATGAGGAGGACTTGATTGAGAATTTCCTAAATAATTGGGATGTAATTAAAAATATTTATAGATTTTTGACCTATTCGAGAATGAGAATAAATATTTAGGGAGTGCGATGCACAAACAAAGCCTCAGTTTAGCGCTAAAGAGTTGGCGAGGAAATGCTATATGAAAATGGGAAATATTAAGGTGAGGTGTGCTATACTAATTATAACACACCCATGATTTTTTAAATAATACTAATAATATTAAGAAAAACAATAATAATAGTTAATTATTATATAAATTAAAGTAGGAGCAAACCTATAAATTTTTGCTTAACTATTGGGTTAGTATTGGTTTTGTTTCCAAACAAATTTCTTTTCTTTTTTTCTATAAATTTATCTCTAGACAATTTTGATTTTTCAATTAACACATTGTTTTAGATTTGCTTGGCAGAAAATATTAACTTTCTTGTAAAATGACATTATTTTTTATAAAAAATATTTAATTTAGATAGAAAGACTTTATTCAAAATTTATGAATCTTAAAAGACAAATTCAATACAAAAATTTATTTAATGACAAAATTGAGACTATTTATATATTTAAAGAACGTTTTTTATGAGAAAATTTAGTTTTTCTACTAACTCACATAACTCAAAACTTTTTGTAGAATTAATTTATTAAAATTTAAAATCATGATATTTGATTGTAAGAGACCACTACTACTGAAATTCAAGTTTTTTAATAAAAAAAATTGGAATTTAATTTATATTTTTTGTTTTTGGGAAGGCAATCCCCTAAAATTCCATCTCTATTTAAGTGACATAGCCTAAAACAAAGGGCTATGCTATGCATAAAATTCAAAATAAAGTTTACAAACTTAGAGATTCAATTGTCAACCATTAAAAAACTTAAGGACTAAAAAGATAACTTTATCCTTTAAATTCCTCAAAACTATAAATTCACCCAATCGACTAGTCGTCTACGATAAACATGCCACGCTCTCCTCTGTTTACACACAGACAAACTGAAGCAACAACTGTGAAGTGAAAAATGGAGGGTGGTGGTGGTGAAGTAGTGAGCAACAAGCAAGTGATATTCAAGGACTACGTGCCTGGTGTCCTTAAAGAATCAGATGTGTACATCACTACTAGTACTATCAAACTCAAGGTCCCAGAAGATTGTAATAATGGTGTTCTTGTAAAAAATCTTTACTTGTCTTGTGATCCTTACATGAGAAACCGAATGAGAAACTTCCAAGGCTCTTATATTGCTCCCTTCAAGCCTGGTTCGGTCAGTTACCTTTGACCCATTTGAGAGTTTTCTCCGTTTCTCTCGCTTTTATCATTTTTTGAAGTAAAGATTGATCTTTTCGACTTGTTTCGACAATTGAGTTTTTGTAATTAGTTTGGTGACATAGGTTTGTTTTTAATTGTAATTGAAGTGGAAAAAGTCTGCAGTTTTGTGAAAGTCTTGTGTAAATTTACTTGCTTTGTAGTGGATAGAAATCGTGGAGAGAGTAGCTTATTTTAGCTCATAAACTAGTAGGGTTTGTTGATTGAGCGGTTACTGAATTCAGATGTGACTTTTTGATGCTTGAAATTTGTATAAATGTAGCCTATAAGTGGGCGTGGAGTGGCTAAAGTTTTGGATTCAAGGCATCCGGATTTTAAGAAAGGGGACTTGGTTTGGGGAATGACTGGATGGGAAGAGTACATTCTGATTACAGCAACAGATTCACTATTCAAAATCCAGGACAAAGATGTGCTCCTTTCCTATTATCTTGGAATTCTTGGTAAGCTTTTTCTGGTTTAGTAGTTGTTCTGTTTACGAACATAGATGATCATTGATGCTAATGAATGGATTGGGGGAAAAAAAAATTGTTTGCTTCTTGAGAGTTCTAGAAAACCAAATTATTGGGTTTGGGAAGTTGATAAATTTGAGTTATGAATGACGTGTAGGTAGCTTACATTGGGTATGATTATGGTGATGATGATATGTGGCTTAAGATAACTGATATCTACTTCTTAGAGTCTGCATGGTGGAGGGCATGGCTTAAGATAACCGTGATTCTGCTGATCATTCAGGACATTAACTTCTTTTGGAAGGTTACTCTTCTAGTAATGTACCAATGAGATTCTCAATTCGCAAGTAGCTTACAAGTAAATGCATTCTAACCAAAGGAGAGCATATGGATGTATTTTTAAGAAACGAATTAGTCTCCCTTGTTTCATGCCATGGAAGTTCAATAGATAATTGTCATCCTAGTATGAGTTCTTCAGTCAAAGTGATGCAAGCAATCTCATTAATTAGCCTTTTGTTATTGTTGTTGTTTGCTTGGCCTTCATTTCTCCTGTCCTCTCATCTCTGTTTAAATATAAGGTCGATTTATTGAAGAATAAGTTTGGGTTTGACGATGCTTTCAACTACAGAGAAGAGTCGGACTTGGATGCAGCTTTGAAAAGGTTAGCGGCAAAATTTTCTTAAATTGGATCTGTAGTAGTATATGGAACCCTACTCAAAAGATCATTAGAATGATGAAAAAAAAAGCCTTGGATACAGATGTGAAGATGTTCTTATGAAAAATTATTTAGCATCAGTTTCAAGCTGTGAAAGAAGGCATTTGATGTTGCATAAAGAAAGAGTTGGTGGATTTGCATGTCCTGCTTTATTGCCTTGAAATTCCTATCCACTGGGATAGGATATGTATACGAAGGAGCTTATAGTCCAGTGGTAGTGGTCTCTTACAATAAGAGGTTATCAGTTCAAATCCTAGCAAACTAATTCTATTGAGAGCCTTGAGCGTGTAAGTTAAATTAAAAATAATAAATAATGCAAAATAAAATAAAAATAACAGCACCACACGCACCACACTCAGGAGGGTTAGCTTCAGAGTGACCAATGTGCTGACAATGGGGGCATCTTGATGTCGGCTTCCATTCATACTCAACCTTTTGACTATAGCTACATCCCTTACCATCCTCAATAGTAACCGACTCAGGTAAGTCCTTACCAAACTCCACCTCCACGCAAATTCTTGCATAGCACAATGTCTTCCTTGATGCATTTATTGTATCAGTAAACAGTGGTCTGCCCACCAGACTAGCAATCTTACTTAGGGCCCCAGGAGACCACAGATGCAGCCTCAAATTAGGTAGCTTAATCCAAATTGGCACTGATTTCAACTCTTTGATTTCAAAACTCAAATCAGGACTCCATGGCTTCAAAATCAAAGGTCTACTACCATCATAAAACCTAGGACCCTTAGACAATGCCAATTCCTTACCTTGAGCAGTTTCAAAATCCAAGACAAAAACTCCTGACCCTTGTGGATATACCTTCACATCCCCATATTTTATCCACTCAGAGACTATTAAATTTTTAAGCAACTTATCGAATGAAGGTGGACTGGAAAGTGAGTCATGACCCACAAAATAAGCAATCACAGCTGTTTTCCATCTGCTAACCTCGGATGCAACATCCTTTTCATTGACCAGAGCCAATTCCTTGCCATTCTTGAATACAGGTTCTACGAACTTCAATTCCATCCTGTTCTGCTTTCTGCAGCACAAGCACACAAAATTGCAAAGAAAAGTAGGAAGAGCAAAGAAAACTTCGAGAACAACAAACAAATAAAGGAACGTACGTACCTCAGGGCTAGAAATCAAAAAGAAAAGAAGCAAAAGCTTGGACAAATGTAGGATATTGAATCAAATATACTGGTGGATGTTGGACTACATGTGTGTCCACTGCCACAGAAATATATCGGCACTCAGGTCGGTAGGAAAATTAAAGCCAAAAGCGTAAGTTCAAAGCTAACTAAACCTCAGATGGACGCTAACGCGTTGACGAGGAAAGGAAATATTAAGGTTGTAAACTTTTGTCTCTGAACAATTTTGATTCGGTGAAGGTACTTTATAATCTTCTTAATTGGGTCCATTCATCATTTTCTATCAATCTATAAAGCTCATATGCATACTTTATATGCAATATAATTACGTTTTTGTTGAAGATTGAAAAGCTTATGAGCATGATGAGGAGGACTTGATTGAGAATTGTATGGAATATTTGGGATGCAATTGATAACATTTATAGAATCGTGACCTAATTGAGAATAAGAATAAATATCAGGGACTGTGATACACAAACAAAGCCTCAGCTTAACGCTAAAGAGTTGACGACGAAATGGTTTACAAACATGGGAACTATTAAGGTGAGGTGTCGTGCATACTAATTATAATACACCCATGATTTTTTAAAATAAAACTAATAATATTAACAAAAACAATAATAATACTTAATTATTAAATAAATTAAAGTATGGGCAAACCTATAAAATGTTTCTTAACTGTTGGGTTAGATTGGTTTTGTTTCCAAATAATTTTTTTTTCCGTATAAATTTTATCTCTAAAAAATTTTGATTTTTCAATTATCACCTTGTTATAGATTTGCTTAGCAGAAAATATTAACTTTCTTGTAAAATGACATTATTTTTTTTTACAAAAAAAATATTTAATTTAAACAGAAAGACTTAATTCAGAATTCACGAATACTTGAAAGACAAAGTCAATACAAATATTTATTTGATAACAAACGTTTTGTAAGAGAAAATTTAGTTACTTGTTGGTATTTAATTTTTTTTTTTTTTTTTTTTGGGAAGGCAAGCCCCTAAAATTCCATCTCTATTAAGTGACATAGCCTAAAAAAAGTGCTATGCTATGCATAAAATTCAAAATAAAGTTTACAAACTTAGAGATTCAATTGTCAGACATTCAAACATTAGGGACTAAAAAGATAACTTCATCCTTTAAATTCCCCACACTATAAATTCACCCAAACGACTAGTCGTCTATTATATCCATAACCAAACCATGCTCTCCTCTGTTTGCACACGGGCAAATTGAAGCAACCACTGTGAAGTGAAAAATGGAGGGTGGTGATGGTGAAGTTGTGAGCAACAAGCAAGTGATATTCAAGGACTACGTGCCTGGTGTCCTTAAAGAATCAGATATGTACATCAGTACTGGTACTATCAAACTCAAGGTCCCAGAAGATTGTAATAATGGTGTTCTTGTCAAAAATCTTTACTTGTCTTGTGATCCTTACATGAGAAACCGAATGAGAAACTTCCAAGGCTCTTATATTGCTCCCTTCAAGCCTGGTTCGGTCAGTTACCTTTGACCCATTTGAGTGTTTTCTCTGTTTCTCTTGCTTTTATCATTTTTTGAAGTAAAGATTGAAATTTTCAAGTTGTTTCGAGAATTGAGCTTTTGTAAATAGTTTGGTGACATGGTTTTGTTTTTAATTGTAATTGAAGTGGAAAAAGTCTGGAGTTTTGTGGAAGTCTAGCTTATTTTAGCTCATAAACTAATAGGGTTTGTTGATTGTGCGGTTACTGAATTCAGATGTGACTTTTTGGTGCTTGGAATTTGTATAAATGTAGCCTATAAGTGGGCGTGGAGTGGCTAAAGTTTTGGATTCAAGGCATCCCGATTTTAAGAAAGGGGACTTGGTTTGGGGAATGACTGGATGGGAAGAGTACAGTCTGATTACAGCAACAGAGTCACTATTCAAAATCCATGACAAAGATGTGCCCCTTTCCTATTATATTGGAATTCTTGGTATGCTTTTTCTGTTTAGTAGTTGTTCTGTTTACGAACATAGATGATCATTGGTGCTAATAAATGGATTGGAAAAAGTTAATTTTGTTTGCTTCCTGAGAGTTCTAGAAAAGCCAAATTATTGTGTTTGGGAACTTGATAAATTTGAGTAATGAAAGTGGTGTAGGTAGTTTCATTAGTTATGATTATGGTGATGATGATATGTGGCTTAAGATAAGTGATATCTACTTCTTAGAGTCTGCATGGTGGAGGGCATGGCTTAAGATAATCGTGATTCTGCTGATCATTCAGGACATTAACTTGTTGGCTAAACCGTGATGCATTGCTTCCCTAGTCTAGACATGTTGCCTTTAACTTCTGATACTTCCTTGTTTTGATTCATCATTAGATTTGTCCAATGATCTAAGAAAATGATTTCACCGTTTTGGCAGTTGTCCATGAACCTTTTGAGGTTTAGAAGGTCATGCAGTGGTTCTCAACCTCAAAAGGTTCAGGCAAGTAGAGAGAGACACTACTGATATAGATATTACAGTAACTCTCATTAGTCCCCATTATGATTTCTTCTTCTAAATGATCAAAGCTCATACTATTGAATGTATACTTTATAGGTTTGCCAGGTTTGACTGCTTATGCTGGCTTCTATGAAATATGCTCTCCTAAGAGAGGGAGTTTGTTTTCATTTCAGCAGCCTCTGGTGCAGTTGGTCAGCTTGTTGGGCAGTTTGCCAAGTTGTTGGGTTGCTATGTTGTTGGAAGTGCTGGAAGCAAAGACAAGGTAATTACCCTTTGTGAATGTTTATGTTATTTGTGTTATCCCGCTTTATTCAGTGCTGATTCTGCAGTCTAATTTGATGCTGCTTCTCTTCAAAGTCTGAAGCACAATAAAACTTGGAATTGCAAACCTGCACGAGGAATCATATTTGATACAAGGAACTAAACTTTAAAGCTCATTGCTAGTTAGAAAGCTGGTTCGTAGTTGCTAAGTAGCAAACAAATACATTAATTTGAGGAGACAGAAAGAGATGATATGTGAATGTCCTATTGGATAGGTTCCTGGGAATTTTGCAGTTGCACAGATCTTAGGCGCCATAAAAAGAGCAGTGTTTCTTGCATCCAAATATATTTTTCTTTTGGAAGGTTACTCTTCTAGTAATGTACCAATGAGATTCTCAATTTGCAAGTAGCTTACAAGTAAATGCATTCTAACCAAAGGAGAGCATATGGATGTATTTTTAAGAAACGAATTAGTCTCCCTTGTTCCATGCCATGGAAGTTCAATGGATAATTGTCATCCTAGCATGAGTTCTTCAGTCAAAGTGATGCAAGCAATCTCATTAATTAGCCTTTTGTTATTTTTGTTGTTTGCTTGGCCTTCATTTCTCCTGTCCTCTCATCTTTGTTTCAATATAAGGTTGATTTATTGAAGAATAAGTTTGGCTTTGATGATGCTTTCAACTACAAAGAAGAGTCGGACTTGGATGCAGCTTTGAAAAGGTTAGCGGCAAAATTTTCTTAAATTGATCTGTAGTAGACTAGTAGTCTGTGGAACCCTACTCAAAATATCATTAGAATGATGAAGAAAAAAAAAGTCTTGGATACAGATGTGAAGATGTTCTTATGAAAAATTATTTAGCATCAGTTACAAGCTGTGAAAGAAGGCATTTGATGTTGCCTAAAGAAAGAGTTGGTGGATTTGTATGTCCTACTTTATTGCCTTGAAATTCCTATTCACTAGGACATGGTGTACCAAGGAGCTTATAGCGCAGTGGCATTGGTCTCTTGCAACAAGAGTTTACGGGTTCAAATCCTGATGGATTAGTTCTGTTAAGAGCCTTGGATGTGTAAGTTATTAAAAAAAAAAAAACTA